GTCTCCTCCTCCGTCGTATAAGAGTAGGCAACGCATCTGCAATTGCGGATGTCTATGGGCAGCGGTCGCTTCGCCATTTTGGCGATTTCAGAGGGCCGCTTGCTCGTTTGCCACCTTATGTTATAAAAAAATAACCATTATAACGGTGAAAGAATTTTTAAAATCGGTACAGTAGTTTTTGAGTTATTTCAATACATACAAAAAGCAAATCTTTCATCTTTATAATATTAGTATAAACTAGCTGTTGCTTGCGACTTTGTTCGCTTGAATTAAAAATGATAAAAAATAGTCTATTTTACGCACTGATAACGTAGCTTTTTAATGGTAAAAGAATTTTTTTAATCAGTCCAATACTTTTTGAGTTATTTTAATACATACAAAAATACACATCTTCTTTATAACAAACGTACAAAATGCTTGTCTCTTAACATACGTGGGAATAAAAAAAATTAACATAAACTAAACGAACACATTAGTTTAAATAATGAGTCATATGACTGCAGAAACCCTTTAAACAACACAACCAATTTAATTCGCGTATCTAATTGGCGGGCGTAAACAAAAACCACTAGACGGGATACGTTATGGTGATGACCAATTAAAAGTTAATCAAAAACGATGCGTATTCATTAGGCATGGTATGTGCCGTCCATCCATGGGCCGTCATACGACAAAAATGTTCAAATATTAACAGGGCTCGCCTTATCATCGAGAGATGACTATGCGAATAATTACATCGTAAAATGAATGCAACTACATATTTCAATAACGCGAATTATTTAATTTATAACATATTTTATTACATATTCAAATACAAGCAATACAACAATAGTAACTTTTTTAATCTTTATCTTAGTAATAATTATAGTAAACTATTTCTATTCTTTATAGAAGGCTGGAAGATGGAGTAGGCCTTTAAAAAAATTAAAAAAAATAAAAAAAATTGAATATACTAGTTGAATAGTAGACTAACAATACTAATAACTATAAGGTGTGAAACTAACAATACTAACAAAATGAAAATTTAAACGCTATGTAAATAAAGAGGGTTATTATTATTAATTTTATTATTTGTTTTCTACTCATTTATTTAGATCCTACTCTTGATAATTACCCGATACTATGAACATGTCTAAGAAGTTGTTCTGCTTTCCCGAAAGTGCTTTTGAACAGTGCATCTTTTGTAACATACAAAGCAAAGATATTTCTACATAAACGTTCTTGTGGTAACTTGTTAAACTCATCGTAAGCCTTCTCTATAACTATATAGAACTTTATTAACGCGGCTAAAGACATTATGAATAAAATAACTAATACAAGAAATAAAAACTAAACAAAATCACTAGACTCAATCTTAACGTTCTAATAAAATAAAAGTCAAACTGACCTAGTTATTATCTTTGTAATATAAAATCGGTCGCGCTTTGTAATTCGTTTTTAAATCACTGTTCCCAAAAATTGGCGCGAACGTGCGGGTGACGTCACGCACGCTTGATGCGTCGCCCTTACTCCGCCGCCCTCGCCTCCTTCGTGACCCCGCTGCGCCAGCGTCGCCTCGCGACTGACAGGGACGCTAATGTTATGGCACGCAAAACTTACTATGCCCTTCTATTGCGTTTGATAAAATCCATCATCTATTTGAATGGAATTTGTTACCTTCTTGTGATATAATTCCTATGGCACTGCTTTTGTATGTTGGTACTATTTGATAAAAATTGCTGCTTTTTAATCCGGGTCATTTCAACCATGTATAAATGTAAACTAGTACCATCAATAAAATCTTCTTTATTTGCTGATTAACAATTCACTACTACAAACACTTTACACAAATATTATAAGTAAAATTGCATTTAACTAAATAAAAATGTTACATTGTTTACTTCACATCTTGCACTAATTCGACTCGCACCTAAACAGTGTTGCCAATAAAAAATTTTTACCCGCCCGTGTACATCGTATAGAAAGCAGTGTTTGTATGGGAAAAGATCATCGGCCGTAGCATCAGCAGCAACATTAGCAAAATGTCGCTTTTATAACGTTTTAAGACGGTACAAATGTTAATCAAGGATTTCAAAAGATATTTAAAAATAAATTTTTGAACTAAAATAATGAACCATAGTAAATCTTCTAAAACCTGTAGAATCTTCTAGAGCGTTAGGGTTGCAGTCATAGATCGTAGATTTTTTAATTCGATAGCCCGAAAGCCGCAAAACTCGGCAAATGCCGTAGTATTGGTAACACTGGCCTAAATCTTCGTTATTTTTTCTTAATTCAAATTATGTCTAATGTTTTCTTTTCGGGCGGTACGAAATTTAATATTCATCCACAATATTTTTGGGACTTTAGCAACTATGCTTTTACAATTAACTACCTTAAGAACATGTTAGTATGTTACAGCTATGGTTTTACTTTGAAATGAATGAAAATATATGTCAGCGCCATCTGTTATCAATAATTGCTTAACCCGATAATACACTAAATACCAGCAACAATATCTGTTGCAGGAATGAGGCGATTCGCCGGATTTGATGCAGGAAAGGACACATAGGAAAGGTAAATATTATATGTCTGTGTGTTATCGTCTCTGTCTCTCTGTCGATTTATCGTAGGTATCGCATCTGCAGTTATAAAATTAAAAACCTCTTCAAGCGTTTACAATATCGATACAATTCGATGTTAACCGAAGCAGCTACTCGCATCGAATGCAACATTCATTTCCCTGAACTTAAGTAGAACGTTTCAATGAAATGACGCTAGAGTTGTTGCATCGATTTGTTTTGTTTGAGGCAGCGTTTTGTTTACGCTTGACGCTTCGTGCTCAGCCCCGCTATAGAAAACTTTGAAAAGGCTTTCACAATACACGGTTATTTGTTGTTCCAATAAAAATACGCTGAAACTGGGTCCGCGGGTGAAAGAAAGTATTACCTTTTCCACAACGTAACTGAAACCCAATGTATACCAAGATCACATTTAGACAACTGTTTTCAATAAACCACTAAATTAAAATCTCTTTATTGAATCAATATTTTATCGAACGTTGAAATTGTTTAAAAACATCAGTATGTGAAGTTGTACATTTTTTAGTTCTTAACAGTACTTGACTGGAATAACCTATTTTTTTTTCTAAACGAGAATGGGGTAAACGAACTACAGATGCGTTGCCGGCCTTTGAGGAAGTGGTAGGCTCGCTTCTAGAAGGACCCAAGTCGTACTGTATGAAGAAAAAACTATCACATAATATTGTAAAGGTTTCATTGTGACTCATACTACCTTTGATTGCTGAGGAAAAATTAATCTAAATTTTGACTCATAGAATGAACTTAACATAAATGTTCTCAGAATAGTGACTGAAATTGAGCAATTAGTTACAATTGGTAACGTCATCTAAAAAAGTGTCCGAATTACAAAGAATAATGACGAATCAAAAAAATAGTCACACGTTCATTTTATACGACACACACAGAGTTATCTTGAAAATAATCGAGTCTAACTAACCATTTACGTATTAAGAAAACATTTCAAACATTAGTAAAACTAGCAAACTAATAGTAAATTATTGTTACTTTAGATAAATAAAGCTAGTTCTTTCTGGTCATGCATAATACAGAATCCTTCTTTAAAAATATATCCGAAAATGAAGCTACCAATTTAACTTGAGACGTATTATATTGTAATTAAGTCATGGGTCAAGTTACACTGGTTAATTTGTAGAATGATTATTGCATTTAAAACAAGCATTTGTCGAGAATTAGATACAATTTAAATGTGTTTAATAACACATATTTGTTAAGATCAAAGCGCTGGCGCTTAGAACGTCCAGATGTTACATACGTGAGGTTATGGCTTCCGAGAATTCCCATCATAACATTTATGCTTTAAGACTACCAGGTTAACAGTCCTCGGTTACTGGAATATGGGTCTACAAAGAGAGGTATTTTCTACAGTTTTAGCAAATAGTTGTGGAATGTGATTAATTAGAGAATCTCGTTTATTTTGAGAAATGGTATTAAAACTACAATATAGAAGGAATCTTAAATTTATTCTAGAGTAGGTTTTATTGGCAAATTTTAAAGGAATAAAATAGACGACTTAACTAGGACTCCTGTTTTTAAGAAGCCAAGGACTTCACTTACAAAATTATTAATTTTTAGTGAAAATTTGGTTTAATTTTTTTTTATTATAAAATTGCCGAGAATTCTGTATTTTAAAATAAGGCCAAGAGAAAATAATTAAATTTACTTCACGAAAAATATCATTTCAACAAAGACTAGCACATACGTAGACTAAATTTTAATAAAACACTGCAGTGATATAGAAATTCAAGTAAGAAGCGACTGTCGGAGGTAACGCCATCCCCTTTCTCGCACGGGCTCACTAATTCATGCATGCATATGCGGGCTGCATATAATATTCGTGCATGCATGACATATGCACACA